TAAAAAATGAATTACACGCGAGTCGATTTGCATAAAAAAGTAAAAAGATCGCTCAGGTTTTGACAAAATGACATCAAAACGCATAGGTTTCTCTTACTTTTGCTCTAATTACAAAAGTAGGTTGCATCACAAAGCAAATCTGACAGCTCAAAAGTTAGAAACACCACATGTGCACCCAAATCTTGATAACAAAATTAGTCAGCAATGAGATTTGTTTACTGTAATTGATCAGACAACTAAAAGAAAGACATTTTCAAAACCTATGCAGCAATAATAAGACAGATTAAAACCATGAGAGACCAGGATTTAGTTTGATAAGTGATTTCTTCTCGTCTGGTGGGTAGCATTAGGGTCGGTATGATATGCGGCATAAATTTATACCGTCAACCAAATATAGTATAAACTTAGTCCCAAACTTAATCCTAAATATCTCATCTTATCCCACCTTTGTCCCATCAAACTTGGTATTATTTTATCCCACCTCCCAGGTGAGATAAATTAGTCTAGGTCAGATAATCTTGGGATAATATAGTCCACGTGCCAAACGGCTCGTTAGTACTTATGTTGATGGGAGGTTGTAGGTACCAGCCGANATGTTCATGGGAGGTTGTAGGTACCCGAAGGAATATATAGTTGACGTGCCCACAAACTGACCGGACACAACTATTATGAGAGAGATGGACAGAAAGCAAAGGGAAAAACAAAGAAAGGAAAGGAAGGTTGAACATGCACTGCACTTAGATTTTTGTATATTTCAAATTACAATTAACAAAAAGATTATGGAAGACACTGTAACTTTTGAAAATCTCAGCCGACATTCCATCTTCCAGACAACCTTTTCTTCTTGGTACAAAAAAAAATTCTAAAAAAGCACATGCATTATCTTTTATGGTTGTTGATGACCCAAAGGTGACTCATGCAACAATTAGTTAAAAGATTCATCAACTTCTCCCCAAACCCTTATATATAATGATACAAGAAATGTTCTAAAACCATCAACCAAAACTTAAATATTTTTCACTGACCATTACAATACAGCAATATTCCACTGCAGAATCAGAATCACAATGAAGAACTTACTAAGTGGAAATGTGGTGGATATTCCAATGAATTCAGATGTATGCTCATTTGAAAGGCCGCCAAAAAGACTACTATCCCTATCTTCTTGCCAAGACCATATTGTTCCATCTGTAACTTCGAAGATCCTATCAAAATTAAAGCAAAGTGAGTATTTCCGCTGTCTCTTGATGAAGAATAATAAACTTGTTCTTGTACTAGTACTGAGTATTAATGACCCTTAGAATGACGAAATCTTAAAGATAACAATATTCTTGAATATGCAGGAAAATCTGTGATTGGGAAGATGACCAAACTGGGAGAGAGGATGGACTGTCTTGCACAAGGCATTCGCGAACATGGTAAGCACTTATATAGTAATATTCTTGATATATAACATTAAAAAAGGTATAAGAAATTGAAGATGAAAAAGAGTATTTGATTCAATTGTATTTGGACATGAACGAACTTGGAATTTTTTTTTTGATGTTTAGTGTCTTAAAACCAATTTTCACTTGACATACTCATCAAACAAGTTTTTCAATATTGGAAATACTGGTAATAAAATTTCAACTTGCATATAATGATTTCATTATTTGAAAGTGAAGCATGGCCAAACGCAAAGAATGTAAATCTAAAGTATTGATGTAAAAAACCATGCAAGAAGCACTATTTACACGTATATACGATAGAAAGTATTGATTTTAATGACAATGTTTTAACTTAAATTGTGCAGTGAGCCTAAGCCCGAAGCTAACAGAAACTGTGAAGGGAAAATTGA